ATTTGTCAAGTATGAATTTTGACCCCTAGGAACGAATTTTCCCCAAACCAGGATCAAATACGAATTTCTCATCTTCCTTAGTCCAGATCTAGTCATTCCCTCACTACTAAGTTGTTAGGGTATCTCATTGAAAAACATGCACCATTCCATTATAAATACTTATGTTTCAAAACCATCTAGGGGTGCGGTTTGGTAGATTCAGGATTGGATCAGGCCACCCCCCTACCCAACCTTGCATATCCCAAGGGTCAACCCAGATCTAATCAGATTCAAGATGCTTGGACCCTTACCCAACACACTGCGTCAGGTTATATCAAGGTTAGTTGGGTTGGGTCTTCACTCTGATCCGACTCTACAGCCGCGTCCGTAATTCAAGACCTGGACCAACCTACGCAGTCCAGTAGTTGGATCCAGACCTGGAATTAGATCAGCCACTGAGTGGACAAGTTGACTTGTCCCAGTTACCGGGCCTCGTTCCATCTGACCCACATTACAAAGAAACTTGGATTCAATGTCAGCACAAAAATGACATATAGAAGCAGTGCCTGGATTCATGGATAAATGCTGCACACAGACTTATTCGTGATTGAGGTGAAACTCTATTTTGAAGAAATGGCCACCCGATAGGTATCGTCTCCTACACAAAAGGTTAAGAAATCACTTTGATATTGCCCGCAAAAATTACAGCACAAATCAGCCTTTGCATATAGGAATTATTGCTTCAACATCTGATAATCGCATCCAGACATGGCCTAATGTAAATAATCTGATTAATAACGGTGAGGAAAGGCATTATGAGCTGTAGGGCCCAGTGTATAAAGCACGACCTGGGGATGGTATTCGGCCCATGCCAGAGCTGAGTAATTTGGGTGGAGTCCAAGTTACCCGGCCTGAGTCAAGCTGGATCCTAGTAAGCTAAAAAGTGTTAAAAAGATAAAAAAAATCCCAAAAATAGGAAATATATGTTTGAAGTAAAATGAAACAGAACACATCTACAAGAGGTTAAAAAATCAAAGGGGATATTTTAGAAATAATGCAAAAAGAAAAGAAAATGTAAAAATAAGTTTTCAATGCCGAAACACTTTCCAATCTTTCCCAAAATGATAGAAAATATAAAAAAATAGTATGAATAAATTTATTACTTTTTTGGACTTTTTATTGTTTTATAAAATTTTGTAATTTTGTTTAAGATTCGTGAGTTGGACCACCCAACTCAGGGATACTCCGACTCACCAGGGTGGTGAGTCCAAGTTGGCTCGCCCTAGTTTTTGCACATTGCTCGGGCCTACAAAACAATATGGAGCAGATGACTCAGATTAAATCTCTACCAATTGAAAGACTAGCATATGTTAGCACCATTTAACTTTCGACCTTTTTTTTATTTGAAATGGTTAGAATTTCATTGAGAAAATAAACGATCAAAAGCCCAAGCCAACTTGAACCAAGAGAGCCCGGTTACAATAAAGCTTCCTCTTTAGCAAAAGAATCTGCCTTCATGTTACGATCATGAAAGATGTGGTGAAAGACCACCTCCCTATCCTGAAGTCCTGAGACAATGACGTCCATGGTGGACGTTATGGCCCATGGCACTGAATTTGGATTTCTGCACCAAGATATGGTGTTGGCTGCGTCCCCCTCAATAATGATTCTAGCATCTCTAGGTTATAGTTTTAGAATCCCTTCTTTCAAAGCCCTTACTTATCTCGTTAATGTCGCAAATATGGGATCTTCCTTGATATTGCCATAAAACCTCTCCATTGGAATCACAGAGAAGACCACCATACCCTGCTAAGCCCTCTTGAGGCCTATGACTGCCATCGAAATTTAGTTTGAGTCAATTGGAAGGTGGTCTCTCACAAAAAGCACTTCAAGATGGTTTCTACTTACCAAAGTACTCTAAATGTATTTTGTTTAATATTTTTGTGTTAAAAATATTTTTTATAATTTTTATTTGATTTTGTGGTAAAATTAAAAGGAAAATTATCAAATATATCCCCCATAGTTTCCTTTATTTCCAAGTTACCTTTATTTTTCATTTAATACATCCCACGTTTTCTAGTGATTTTTACATACAAGATACTTCTACACTCGCCACGGATGTATTACATTCATGGCGCTCTTTAAACATACCTTGCCACAGCTCTAATGGCTCGAAGGGTTTTTGGAACCCTTTGGCCCGGCTTCCTGGTACTCTATAAATCGTCATTGACAAAGCAAGTCCGTGACGGTCTCGCCACGACTCTAATAGCTTCATGGTGGTTCAAAGGGTTCCTGGAATATTTCGGTCAGGCTTCTTAGTGCTCTAGGAAGCCTATAACCGTCACAGACAAAGCAGGTCTGTGACGATCTCGCAACGATTCTAATAAGTTTGTGGCCGCTCGAAGGGTTCCTGGAACCCACTGGTTAGGCTTCATGGTGCTCAAGAAGCGTATGAATCTCGCCACAGCTCTAATAAGTCCGTGGCGGTTTATTAGAATAATAGGGGCAAGGGTATGTTTAAATATCGCACATATATAATAGATTCGTGGAAGGGGGTAAAGTGTCTTTTATACAAAAATTTCTAGAAAACGGGTAAGGATATATTAAATGAAAAAGAAAGTTAACTTTGAAATAAAGGGAATTGTGGAGATAATATCTAATAAATTTTCAAATTAAAATACAACTTTAAATTTAAATAATATAATTTTAAATAAAATAAAAATAAGACATTTTTTTATAACATTTGAATTAGGCAAGGTTCAATATATTGAAAAGTGCTTGTGTTGTAAACCACTATTAGAAAAATCGGGTGATCTAACAGTTTTGGGCGGTTTTGGGGATCAATCGGTATTTTAAAAAAAATTAAAAAAATACATATATAAATTCTCAAAAATGAGGAATTTGGTTTGTAATACATTTTTTAATATTCTTTACATTATGGTAAAGATTAAAAATTGGTTTGGTCGTTAATACTCACTTTTATATTTTCCTATATTTTTTTACAAAATTTTAAAAATACCTTTGGACACAAATTGATTTGTTAAAATCCATTTCTTAGATTAATTTTCAACATCATTTGAATGTGTTTTATTTTAATCATTCTTTATATACTTTTCACATTTTAATAGTTTTTTTTAATCATTTTTATTTTTTTTAACACTTTTTTGATCGCTTGGGACTTGTCTGGTTAGATAAGTTGAATCGACTGATTTACCGATTAAGCCGATTAAACTGCTTCTTGACCCATGTCGGTTAACCATCCCAATTCAATTTTGCGAACACTTGCAAACCCGGTACATCTCAACATGATATGGTCTAATAATTTATGGATGAGATACCAAGAATAAGATACAAGTCATTTTTGACCATTTCGAAAAGACAGAAAAAAGAAAAAGAACGGAGTCATTTTTGGACCCATGCTCATTATTGGACCCATCGTCGCATACCCACACCAGTGCTCTAAGTGATGCAAATTGAAAAACGTGGGGGACAAATGGGTTTGAAAGCATTGAAATCTATTGCAGTACCATAAAAAAGAAGGCAAGGTTTGTATAAGGTTGGCTCCTTGTGCTTATTTCATACTGTAGAAATAAGGCACGGTAATAAAAAATTTACTTAGGAAATTTAGGAGGTATTGTTTTGGTGTCGAAAACTTATGATGGTTCAAAAATCTCTTTTTACCCTATGGTATAAAATTTTAAAATTTCAAAACTTATATAGATCGAGCAAATAAAAAAACACTTAAAAATCTTGAATATAGACAGTCTAGATAATTTGATGCACTATTTTTTAGACTTAAAAATCTTTTTTTCTTGATGTCCATTCAACTTGATGTCAAAATGATCTCTTGGAGTGTTCTTCAACGCCTAAACTCTCTCCTCTGTAGGATTTTTGAGGTGCACCCTACTTCAACAGGTAGCAATCTTATATGAGCTTTTACCCTAAAAAAAAAAAAAGAGCAAATCTATAAGGCTTAGGCTTTATAGAAACAAGGTAAAACCTCACCTCAATCCTTGTTCAAAAAGTACTTTGAGCATTAGAAATCTCTATGATTGCTCTAAAATCAATTTTCAATGACGACAATTAAATTTAAAGCTTAAAAATGACATATATCTACTGGATCCATGAATACTTGTTTTTAGGGTGAAATAGACGGTCTAGATAATGTGTTACAATATACACTAGTTCTAAGATTTGAAATCCTAATTTTTCACAATCATAATGGTCAAAGCTGAGATGATCTATCTAAAGATTTTCGACACAGAATTGCAATTTTCAATAAGTATTGACGTGAGGCTTTACTTATTTTGATAGAGCTGCAGCCTTATCAAAACATTTTCCTTGGCTACCTACCAGGCCAGAACAATCACGTGAAATTGGACGGTCCCCCATCTTTTTCACCATGTCTTTTGTTAAAGGGTGCGGTTCTTATAAGGTTGCAACCTTAAACAATCCAATTAAGGCGCACATCCAAATTTTATCATAACATGTAATTTTGTTGTAAAAGTTTTTTAGGATTATCTTAAAATCTATTTTCATATTTAATTAGAAAATTTTAAACTCCAAAAATAGTTAAAATCAAATAGATATATAAATATATGAAAATATTGAAAATGGACGGCCTAGATAATGTGTTGCAAGATGCACAATTTTTGAGATTCAAAAACCTTTTTTTTTTTTCATATTCATACATCTTGATGTCGAAATGATCAAATAGAGAGTTTTTCAACATTAAAACAACCATTCTGATAGATTTTTAAGTGCATCTGTAATTCTACATTTTAAGGTTGGAACCTTATGTAAACTTTTCCCTTTGTTAAATAGGTTAGTGGGAAGGAATCTTATCTATCCAATTTTAACTACTAAAAAAGAAAAAAAAATCCAAAAATTTACCATATAATATTTGAATTATTTTTGTTTAGTTCTTATTTCACTGTCGCCTTTACTTTTGGCACCCAAGGTTGGCCTATAAATAGGGCTCAAATTCCAGTGGATAGTGTGTCTACATATTTTGATAGGTACTCCTTGCAGTCTTTGAGGTGCACAATTATGGCTCATGAGCAATGGTTGTTGCTTGCTTTGGTTGGGCTTGGGATGCGCTTACAAGCCATGCTTGAGGACTTTAATTTCTACTACTATGTAAGTCAGGTATTGTTGTTTCCATGAAACGCCACACTCTCGTTTCTTGTTTTTGTATTTTAGATTTTTTTTTTGGTAATTTAGATTTTTATGTCTTCAATAGCATTCTCTTATAGCTTCCAAAAGATTATATGGATGTTCATATTGGTCATTTTATAGTGGATGTCAAGATTTATCAAAAAAGAATGCTCCTAAGTAGGTATTTCGCCTAAGGTAGCATGTCTATAAGTTGCTTTTGCTATATGCGTTCTATAACTAGGGAAACATCTCTATGTGGGGTTAGCTATATGTGAAACATAGGTGGCTATTGTCCAAAGCCATCTTATTTGAATGGACGGTTGGGATAATTTTATTGACCATATCCATACTTGATACAAATTTATTTTAAATATTTGAGAAATTTTCAAATTTTTTTAATATTTTAAAAAGTCTCAAAAGATATCAATATTTTAAAAAATTACATCTATGCTGACTGCTTTTTTTAAAAAAAAACCCCAAAATGCCCTTCACGGCCCCAATAGAGACATGATTGCCCAACGAGTCCCTTTCCGAGCTTCCCCTTGGGCATTGTTCTATTAGAGTGTTGATGCACCATCACAGCCCTATTAGGGCGGTGATCACAAGGGTCCCTTCTCTTGGGTGCATCTATAGCATCCACGGCAACCAATGGGTTCTTTGTGAATCACGTCATTAAATAGGACCATGATGGTACATCACCACTCTAGTAAGATTGTGATGCCCAAGGGAAGTACCTAAGAGAAGTCCTAAGGTATCACAGTACGTGAACGGAATTTTTTATTAGAAAAAAAAAAATGGCTATGGATGTAATTTTTTTAAAAAAATTGGTATTTTCTAAATTTTTAAAATATAAGATAGTTTTTGATAATTTCCAATTATCGTTTTCTACTCATTATCTTGACATAAAATCTAAGGAAAACTAAGTAAAAAATATTCTTGGCAAAATATAATCACCATAATCCTCTACAATTGTTTGGGGTTTTATGGTAATTTATTTTCATTAGAAACATATTGATCATATTTTTAGTGGATGCGCCCCTATGAGAGGTGGGCATATATACTCTGAACCTTCCAATCAAAATTAGATATTATCGACTACCTTGTAACAATACGATTAAAATCATCCCTACCATCCATTTAGATCAAACAACTAAAACAGCAAATATTCATATTTGTACGTTGGTGGGGGCCGCATAAGAGGATTGCCCTTTACCTATTCCAGTTCAATCATAGAGTACCGGCCAACCTTTATATGAGATAGAGACGCTGCCGTGCTCTCCAGAAGGAAATAACTTCAAAAAAATTGGAACTTTACCCAAACTCATGGAAATCACGTAAATTAAAAGTTGATATCTTTGAAGCGTAGAAAATATTAGAGCTGAGAATGGGTCGGATTTGGTCGGGATCTACCAGGATCAGGATTTGGATTCGAAAAGTATGCAAAGGATCCGGATCCGAATCCAAATCTAAAAAGTACACATAGGATCTAGACCTGGCCAATCGGATCTAAAACTATTTTTTATATATTATTTTATATCTATAAAATAATATATTACAAAAAATGTTATATAACATATACGCGTATATACTGTAATATAGAATATATTAATAATTGGGTCGGATCTAGATTAGATCCACCTATGTTTGGATCGATCTGAAACACTATTTGGATCCATATTTTAGATCTGGATCCCACCCGTCAAATCCAAATCTAATTCCATAACCGTATCCAACTAGAATTCAAAATTCGGGTTTCGGATCCAAACTAGGTAAATTCTCAACCTTACCAAATATCCATGCACTTTAAAAGTTTTCACAAGAGTTTTAATAACACAAAATTAGCCTTATCCTTTACTCCTTGGCATGTAAATTTTTCAATAGATTGTATGATGAGATACTATTTATTGTTATTATTATCACAATCACTCCTAACTATTAGATATCAAATAAGATGGCTTAGGTATATCCCAAAGTTCGAGAATTTTTTTTTTTTATTTTGTTTCTTTGAAATTTGAGTCTAGACATACTCGTAACCACCCAATTTAAAATGGGAAAAGTTTATATGGAGCCGAGGCTCTAAACAATCAAATTTGAACCTACCTAAAATATTTCACTAGAAAAGGTTGTTTTGATGCCCAAATATCTTCAAATTGATCATCTCGACATCAAGATGCATGGACATGAGAAAAAAAAAAGATTTCAAGTTTTTGAAATAGTGTATTTTGTAACGCATTTTTAGACCATCAATTTTAAAGATTTTCAAGTTTTTATAGGTCTTTCAAATTTTTAAAGCTTTAAATTTTATAAATAAAGATGAAAATATATTTTAAGGCTATCAAAAAGATTTCCAGTATTGAAACCACATTTCTGATGGTAGGCTTTAATTTGATAGCTCAGAGCCTAGGCTCTATACAAACCGCTCCCATTTAAAATATGATAGATGAGAGTGATTATGACTTTTTTGTACTAAAAGTAAAGGAAAATAATTCGATAGGGTTGCATCCCAATAAAAATAAGCAAAGGTTCACCTCATATGTCATCGAAAATTGCAATTCAAGCATTAGAAAACTTTTACATCAATCATCTTAGTTTGAACAATATGGTTACGAAAACATAAAAGGATTTCGAGCTCTAAAATAGTGCATATTGTAACAAATTACCTATATCATCCATTTCGCCCTAAAAATAAGTGCTCATAGATCCGTAAGATCTGTGTATCATTTTTTGAGTTTCAAATTTCATTGTCAATGTTGGACATTGATTTAAAGCCATCATAGAAATTTCCATTTTCGAAAGTGCTTTCTGGACAAGGAAATTTCCATTTTCGAATGTGCTTTCTGGATAAGAAAATTCGAAAGTGCTTTCCATTATCGAAAGTGCTTAACCATGGATGAAGCCGCTTTCTCAAAACAATACTAGACCATTGTGGAAAGTACTTTCCCACCTGCTAAACAACCACTTGTTTTCCAGAAAACAAACATCAGAAAGTTTATTTAACAATTGCTTTTATGAGAAGGAAACATGGGAATAAACAATTCAATTGAAAGAAACTTTCTTGAAGGATTCTTGCCTAGTGAGAGAAGCGTGCCCCCGAAATTCATACGTTTCTTAGACTGATGGGCTCTAATAAGGTTGAGGTGAATTTGGTTGTTGCAGTGGCCGGGATCGTACTGTGCACAATCGAGCAAAAGGTGTTGCCTTCCAACAACTGGTGAGCCTGACGAAGACTTCTTTGTCGTCGGCCTGTACGCCGCCAACTCCACTGAGGCCGTGCTCAGAAAGTGCCCAAACGAACAATCCTTTGAGTTCTCACAGGTACTACTCCCCTAACCTTGGCTTAGAAAACGGTTAACACTATGGAAATAAGGGCCATATAATTCATGTTATTAAATGATGCTAGAAATCGAAAATAACAACAATTACTTTTACAAATAATTAAAATAATCACTCTTATCTTCAAAAAAAATATGGGGCTACTACTAAAGTAAAAAAGGGTAATTTTTTTAAATAAAATAGTATAATTTTAAGACATTTCTCCATACTTGTCAATGATTTTTTGGTTGCTTTCCAGTTTTACGGTTTTATCCTCTAATTTAGAATTTACCTTTAAATACCGTCTTCAAATTGTAATAGTCATTAGTGGTGTTTTAAAACCCAGTTATTTTTTATCTGGATCATCAATCAAGATGGGAATTGATCCCCTCTTTCCGCCCAAACAGAAAAAAAAAGGAAAGGAGTTTTCTTTTCTTTTTTCTGTCTTCAATTTTTTCTTTTTGTAGGTTTTATCAAATGTTTTCTTAGGTCGTCTTTTCCTCTCCCCATAAAACCCTATTTCAACTTTTATTGTTTTTCTTTATTTTTAATATTTTATGAATAAAAAATTTGGACCTATCTAAACACGATTCGGATCGTCAATCCAACAATCCATGTGTGGGTGAGTGAATTACTCGACTAATCAGAGTTTTAAAACACCGGTCAATATTGTTATAATGAAATTGACATGGACTAGGCCCATTCTGTTGAGGTATTTGTGTTTCAATTCAATTCCCAAAAACAGTTAACCAGATTTGGTTTATTCACAATGGTGATTTTCAACCTAATGCAGTTAGGTAGAATTGGTTGTGGCCGGGCACACCTAATGTTGGTTAACATGCTCTTCTCCATAATCTGGATCTTTGACTGTGTTTCAACAATTTCTAGATTTTATTTTATTTTTGCATAGTTTCATCTTAGGCACGAATTCCCTCCCCAATCACGGAAACAAGAAAAAGAACACGATTTTCTAAAATTTAACATAGAAACTATCTAACTCCGAAAAGGAAAACAAAGAAAGTTTTGAGAAAAGTGTTAATATTTGTTAGAGGAAAATGTTCCTGTACAATGGCAATTGTGTTATTTTTATTTATTTTTTTAAATAGTTTCGTGGTAGGAATCAAACTTGAGATGCAGCATTGCTAGCACCTACAATTAATAACTCAACCCAAAGCCTGATTCCTAATTGCAATTGTAGTCCATGCTACCATAACTGAAGCCCAAATCTTTTTTAAGAGATTTGTAGATATAATATCACCTGCAATGCAATTGCCTTAACACATATAGGAAAGGAAATGCTTGCAGCAGCTAAGTCGTTTACCAATAAATTCTTATTATATATATATATACCTTACTTTCTTTTGTTATTCGTTTTTTTTTTTAACATGACATGAACTCAGCCTAGTTACTCATACTCGAGAAATAACTCGCCTCGCTCATGGTCCGAGTATATAGGCCGATTTGATTTTTTGAACATTGCTTTAGGTTAACTGAGCTAGAGGTTGACTAAAATTTGTTTGGTTGTGATCAAATTGAATGGGATAAGTTGGAGGGTCTGGAGGAAAGTCTATCCGGTTTGTGGTCTAGCATCAAGTGCCCAAGCAACACTGGACAATCAATGTGGAAGTCCTTATGGAAGAATAATGGGGTCTGCTCAAACCTCAGCCTATTCAAGTACTTTAAGCAAGGCATAATCATCCACCGTGAAATCAACCTCATAAAAGCCCTCAGATTCCAAAGTCAGTTACTCCTAAACCTCGGTTTTGGTTTTCTAATCACTCTAATTGAGTAAGACTGGCTATCATGCATGACACACAATAAGTGCTACTTTTTCGGTAATAGATCACATGCTCAGACAATCAGAATGGCGAAACATGAGAGGAAACATGAAGTAGGATTCCACTGTAATCTACCTCACTTAATAGAGCAAAGATCAAATAGAATGTACATCTGTTTTTTTTGTGCATGTAGTTTCGTCTTCACAAAGAAATCAATGTAAAATTCCATCTATAGTTGTTTTATTTTGGCAAGAACATGATCACTAATAGTTTAGTGGATCTTCAGGTGAGGGTAGTATAGATCTCATATGTGTTTTGATATTTATTGATTTTGTTGAGAATGTGGGGAGCATTGCAGGCATCGTGCCGAACGGTCGATTATACCAACTTGCAGAGATAAAAAAAGCACTGAAGCATGAGTTAGGGGCGGAGGTTGCGATCCGATGTAGAGAGAATTCCAACTCTATGAAGTCTATGTCTGGATCGACAAAGTTGATGCCACAAGTTTGTTACCTTGCCCGAGCTTGCCTGACTTTAAATGCTCTGACGAGATACCCTTCCCTGCCTTCGATTTCCAAATGCTCAAGAAAGATGTGACCAGTAACTCACACAATCTCCAAGTTGAATGATGGCCATGACACTAAGAGAACATGTTGATTTTCTTCTCATTTCAAGCTCATATTGATGCTCTAATACCACTTGTAGTGCTCTAATACCACTTGTTGTGCGTGGACGTTCTAAACTCGACAGGTTAATATTTGGCAAATAAAGTATGAGAAATAAATTGTGAAATACATACAACATGAACACAAAGATTTACATGGTTCGCCTAAGAGGGCTACATCCACGAGCACGGCAAACTGAAATCCACTATACCAATGAAAGTTATATAAAAGATTTTGGAACAAACCTGGACAAAAACCCAAGTCGAGCAAACCCTTTTAAACCACTCTCTCTTCCTTCTCTTTACTTTTGGCAATCATTACCAACAACACTAGATAGAGACGCGAGAGCGACGTGAAACTTACTTTCTCTCTAATTAAAAGGGGAACAACCCAAATCTCTATTGGAACCGCTTCTCTACAAAAAACAAACAAGCCTCTAAATCTTTAAGAGTATAAAAGAGGCGCCATCACAATGTTTCTGTCCAAATGAAATTTTCTTCTTTCTAAGGGAAAATTGCATCTTATGCATAGGAGGCTCTAGCTCCCTGTCTCTCCAGAGGAACCACCATTCTCATATGGTAACCTAAATAAGGCACACAAGTTCTCTGCACTTTCATCCCATATATATCTAAGATTAGGAGTTCGTACTAACTAATAAACTTCTTATAATTCTTGCATATATCTCAAAAGACCAAGAGATATATCCATGATTCTTAATCTTTTTGAATTTCCATTTCTTTTTTAAGAAACTTATTAATCTCAATCCCATATAATATGGATCAATCTTAATCAATCCCACAAAATATGAGATTTCTGTATGTGGGTGACTTTGGATAACACCAAATCCAACAATTTTTATAAACATTTCAATAAAATTAAGCATAAAAATGCAAAGCTAGAAAATTAATGTCCCAAATAATAGAAACAAGAAGAAAAACGAAAAAAAAATGTCCCAAATAATAGAAACAACTAAAAAACAATATCTATGAACATAATAATGAAGAAAAATAAAGAATAACTAGTATGAGGGGATGACATAAGCAACTTCGAGGAGAAGCTCACAGGCAACCACTTCATGATAACCCTCTTATTTTATAATAAAGCAGTTGAGAGCCACCTCAAAAAAGAGGAAAATTATTAAGAAAATTAGCAAAAATATTCTTATGTTGTCAAAAAATTAAGAATTTGAATTTTCTTTTAAGGAGTTACATTCATACCCAACAATTATTTTTTTGTATAAAACCTAGAATGCCCTTCACAACCCAGACTTGCCTTAGTGTCTTCTCTTGGGCATCACCACTCTATTCAAACTGTAATGCACTATTACGACCCTATTAACGTTGTGATGCTTTGTGCATCCGGGCTTTAATAGGGCTGTGATGCACAATGAACCTGTGCATCAAGGCTCTAATAGGGCAGTGATGCCTAATGTACATATATTTTTTATAAATTTTCAAATTATTATTGACTCTCTTAGATCAAACCTCTCCTTTGCCTATTCTTCACCTTTGGCGTACCCTAAAGCTGGTCCTTTCTCTAACCTCTCAAAGTTTCTCAAATCTCTCTGGATATTGTCTTATGCACTTAAAACTTTATGCTCAAAATTATAGGGCATCATCTCTTTCTTATTTAGGAGCTCTACATTATATAGTTGAGATTATCGTAGGGTTTCTAGCGATCCTTGTCCCTTGATGTGATTGTTCAATCTCATCCCCTTGACTTAACATCCAAGGCTTGGAGGTTCATACTATTTTTCTACCTAAGTGAGT